CTCTTTGTGGAATTCACACTTTGATAATTTCATGTAGAGCTTAGCTTAGTTTAGGACTGTTCTGACTAACTTGATGTGTTCAGCCTTTGTTTCAGTGTAAATTAATATATCATCCAGGTATACCAAAACTCCCTTATACAGGTGCTCATGAGCACCTTGTTGATTAGCTGCATGATCACTGCTGGGGCTCCTTGCAGAACAAAAGGGAGCACTCTAAATTGAAAACATCCGAGGGGGCAGTTGAAAGCGGATTTCCATTCATCCCCTTCCTTAATCCTAACTCTATAACAGGTCCAATTTAGAAAATAGTTTTCCTTTTGATAGGTGGGTCAGTATATCTTTCATGGAAGGCAGGGGTTATACATTTTCCACACATACCGTGTTCAGACTCCTATAGTCCATGCAGAGATGAAGAGAACCATCCTTCTTCTCCCTGAACAGCACAGGTACAGACTGGTTATATGAATCTATGTAGTTCGCTCAACTTCCTGGGGGTCACTGAATATAGCTTCACCTTTGGTAACTTTGCCCCAGGAATGATCTCGATAGCACAGTCTGTGGGGCGGTTGGGAGCCAGTTCATCTGAACCCCTTTCACTGAAAACCTCAGCCAGATCCTGGTACTCCCTGGGTATGGTTTGCATGGCCTCACCACTCAAAGTGGCCGCTATTTCCCTGATCTGTTTTTTTCTGGGGCAGATTTGTTTGCTCAGTAACAGATTCTTTTCTCTGGGAAATTTCTAATGTCCCTTTCTCCAGTCTATCAGTGGGTTCCATTTTTTCAGCCACCACCAACCCCAGGACAAGAAGCCACTCCATTCCAGATGCCAAGATGAAGATTAAAGGTTAAAGTTAAAGTGGCTCCCTATGTTTAACCCCAGGGGTTTCTGTAGCTAGCATGGCTTGGATGCCCCCTGCAATGGACCCATCAAGTTGGCAGAAGACGATGGGTTTTTTTAACCTCTTTAACTGGACCCTTAATTTCCCTTTCACGGCTGGGCTAACCAGGCATCTGGTGCATCCAGGGTCACTTTTCCTTCTCTGCCTGGAATTAACAGTTCTATGGGCAGGGTCATTGGTGCGATCGGCCCACTTACCAACCGGTCATTATCGTAATCACCTTCTGGCATCCTGGGTTCTTCTCCTGGTGGGGTCAGAGTTCCACTCCTGGTTTTGGGGTTGGATGGAACTCCACGACCTCTGTGCTCCTCAGAGCCATGTCTTTCTGGCATAGGCTGGGCTTAGTCGGCTTTCCTTCAGATTGCTGATTGCCTCTTTTGGTTGGAGTTTATCTGCAGCATTCCACAGCATGATGACCCTCTTTGCCACATTTAAAGCAGGCTGTCGAGTGGGGGGGGGGCGTAGCCAAGGTTTTTGCTGCTTCTCTCTTTTTCTTTGGTGGGGATCATTTCCACTTTTTTCCAGAGCGGTATGGGTTGCAGTGTTGGTCGACCACCACCTCCTCAGCCAGGAGCCACCAGTCATGTAATCAAACCAGGGCACCCCTAGCCACGCATGCATTGTATAGGTAATCATTCAGCCCATCCTGGAAACAGCTGATTAGGTTGTCTTCGGGCCAGTTGAGACAGCATGCCAAGTCTCGGAACTCCTCTGTCTACTCAGCCACCAGTGGATGCCCCTGCCTCACGGTCTTTATTCGATCCCATGCCTTCCAATCAGCCAGGTAGTCTTTGCACCTCTTCTCAGGGTGGTCAAGAAACAGAGTTTCAGAGATCTGCTGCATTGCAGTTGTGCAGGGTAACCATCCACTGAGTGGCAGTTCCAGGGCTAGGGTGACGACCCTGACTCTGGCTTCCTCACTGGGAGGGTTTTCCCATACACTTGCATGTAGGTGAACACATGAATCAAGTGAACAGCTTTGATTCGTCTGGTGGGGCTCTCCCTCTAGGGGGTTGCAGGCTGCCATCATTCCCGTAGATCCAGTTGTCTCTGCCACTGCTTCAGTCACTCCTGATTCACTCCCTCCATACTCGGTTTCTTCCGGTTGATCCTTCTTTTTGCTCCTGTGCTGCCTGGATTTTGTCTTTGGGTCCTGAAAGGCCTCCTCCATGTATTGCATGGCTTGTTTCAGGATCTGGTCGGTCAGCTCCTGCTCTCCTTCAGATTTGTTCCCATCATCGGAGAGCAGCTCCATCTCCCACTTCCAGCCCTTCTTCTGGCTGTGTCAGAATCCAATTATACTTCATCTCCAATTATTAATTATAGAAAACCCCATTTCTGCCCTCCCTGGATTCTGCCATAAAGAAAGAGAGAGGGGTGAACAAAGGGGCTTTATGGCCCTCACTTCCTTTGGTACAACTTCAAAGGGTTTGAATGTGGTTAGCACCAAAAGGTCTTATCATAACAAAGGAGGCTATTTACCTTTCATGTAGTTTATCTGAAGTCCCCATCCAGACGGAAGAAAAGAAAAAAGGGGTGGGATTGTGATGCCTGAAACTGTCACTGGAAGAGGGGGGTGATTGGGTGGGACTACTGGGGAACCCCTTAAAACCTCGAATGGGAGAGCTTGAACCCCAAGTCCTGTCTACCACGCCTGCAACCACTTTTTCTTAATAAAGGATTCCTGTTGGAAGAATTATTCCAAGAGTTCTGTCTTCTTAAGATGCAAAGTGGGGTGGGTCCTTACATTCTGCCTCGATGTGAATGTTACTTGCTGGGCTTTTTCTTCCCACTCTCTCTCTTCCCTACTCTGACTGACCATCTCAGGTTCATGGAGCTTTCTTTATTTACTATTTCTTCCATCCAACCATAGGAACTTTCTTTTGGGTGGGTCTTCACAGCGGACTCTCCCCAGCACTTGGTCTCGTCTTGTTCGCTGCATGGAGGGATATCATGCATGGTTCTCACAGTACAGTGGTTGCCTCTCCAGGTTGATCTTTTTGCAGATCTTGCTTAATGTAAGGTCCTGCCTCAACTACTCCTCCCAAGAAAGCAGAACTCTTGAAAAAGGCATTGTTTCAAAAGGAACTTTTATTGGGAAATAGTGATAGTAAGAGAGAAAAGCAAGATCTAAAGTTTTCCTGCGCGAATTGCTACATTAAAACTTTCATTTTACAAAACCCTACCCCAGAGCCCAATTGTCCAGTTCACATCCAGCCACTCCCTAGGTGCAAAGTTGTTATGAGAACCAGAACTGGTAAGGGACGGTTCCCAGGTGCTTCACTGGATCTCGCAACAGAGTGAAGATAAGGCAGATGGCCCCTGGCACATTCCATTCTCTATTTCACACCCAAAGAGATACATCAAAGTTGAGAAAGAACAAAGTAGAGGAAATACAATCATAAGTCCCCCTCCCAGCCAAGAAAAACCTCCCCCTCCCTCTAGAATGGCAGAGCTCTGAAAAGAGACATTGAAGGGGTTCCTGACATTGGTTCTTATTTGAGCAGCTGGAGTTTTCAGCTTTGATAAATTGGGCACTTAAGTTTCTGGAAGCTACCGTTACTTAGTGTTCACACCCAACCTATTGCAGCTGTATTACTAGTTTTTTCCTGGATTCAGTTATAATGCTGATAAATGGCATTTGTTTACTTGCTTATTCCTCTTACTGTCATAGATTAGATTGCTATGTGATGGAATAGAACATAAATCACTACAAGGATTTTTCATATTTTTCTGTTTCTCCAAAATGCAGTTTTTGTCAAATTAACATTCAATAGTTTTTATTGCAGGTAAGAATTTTTGCCTAGGCTTCTTGACTAAAAGATGGAATAATTCCAAGGAAACTGGGGTAAAATACCTTAATGGGATTCATATCCAAAATAGAAGTGCATAGATATACCAGATACATACTTTACCCAAATGTAATTACTTTGGAGACTGAACCAGGAAATCTGTGATTCAAATTTTTCTACAAGGTTCTGTGTTTCAAGAAAGCATTGCACCCTTCTCTATAAACCTCAACTATTGTTAGGAGAGAATACCCTATCTTCTGTTTATCTGAACATCCAATGGGTGTTCAAATAATCATCTGATGTCAAGGATTGCTTCAGGCTTAGCACAGAGTATGGCAATTAATTATTTTTTGTAATTGTAGGCTAATTTACCTCTGGCCATTTTTAGAAGTCTACTCCATCCTGTTTTTGTTTTAATGAGACCCATTACTATAACAAAGATTATATTACTGTAATTACTCTAGATTTTGATTATACTAGGAGAGAGTGAGTGTTCAGGCTATCTAGAAGTGAGGGGGTTTGTACATGTGGGCATCACATTTTGTGGAGGCTGGCCAAAATTATTATAAAAGGAATTGTTGCTGGTTTTCGCGCTTGCTGGAAACTGAACCCCTTTTCCTTAAGAATTAAAAAATTAGGAAAATGGCTCTCTGGAAATGATTAAGAAAAATGTTATGGAGAACTCACTCATGAAATGAATCAACAGCGTATTTCAGGAATTCTGATCCTGACCCATATTTCAGATTTTCCCATATCTTGCCAGCCAAGTACAACTCCAAAAATTTTCAGCAGCCCATCATGGACTACCCTGAACTGAATTTTTGGGAATCGTAGACTTAGAACATTAGCAGTTCCTCAAGATGGAGAAGTCTGGAGTAAACAGATTTGAATAGACAGGTTGCTCAATTTCTTAGGTGCCTCCTAAGGAATTGTTCTATTTTATTATGTTCCCTAATTAAATACATTTTAATAATAATAATAATAATAATAATAATAATAATAATAATAAGTTGGAAGGGACCTTGGAGGTCATCAAGTCCAACCCCTTGCTCAGGCAGGTAATCATATACCATTTCGGACAAATGGCTGTCCAGTTTCTTCTTAAAAACTTCCAGTGTTGGAGCATTTACCGCTTCTGGAGGCAGGTTGTTCCACTGGTTAATTTTCATGTAAATTCCTGAAGAAAGACAATTTCTCTTTAATTTTGGTTTAGAAAAATAAGATTTTCCAATTTGTAATTTCCAAGAAGTGTTTATTTGCAATTTCTATTGTTTCTCTGTACTCTAACAGTATTCCCTTTTCATTTCAGGACTGGTCTATTAGTCTTATAACAGCATCTTTGGCTGGAGCCTTTGGATCCTCCTTCCTCTATGGTTATAATCTCTCTGTGGTGAATGCACCAACAGTGGTGAGAAAATGATTTTTAAAAGTGTAAAATCAGTTTGGTGTAATGATGAGATATAGTAAAAGAAAGTGTATGCAGTATTGGGAAACACACTTGTCTTGTGTTCCTTGTTTCCTTGCCCAGTTCTAAATGGGCTCTTTCTCAGCAGAAGAGCAATGAAGATGTTTTTAGGCAACCTGATTAAATTCTCTGAAGTTACATCCCCCATGTACGAACATTCATTTAGCAAGTTTTCACAAAAACAAATTTATTCAGAAAGGGTATTTACATTAGAAATTCAAAATTGTGACCAAAATGAGGCCTCTGTAGCTATGCCCCATCATGAAAACTTTTAAATTCACTTTGAAGTAATTAATATATCTCACAATTGGTATTTTTTTTATTTTTTCCCTTTTTAAATTTAATAAAGAGCAAGAGAAAATCTATTCCTTCAATAAAAGCACTAATTCTTCTGATTTTCCTTTTCCTTGCTTGCATAATTTGCATAAGACTGCATATCAACATCCATATGTTTATCCTTATTGTTTTTATACATGTAGCCCTCAATGAAATTGGCTTAAACTACTTGTGGCTACAGGTAGTCCTTGACTTATAACCATTCATTTAGTGACCGCTCAAAGTTACAACAGCACTGAAAAAAGTGACTAATGACTGTTTTTACCTTACAACTGTTGCAGCATTGCAGCATTCCCATGGTCACATGATCATAATTCAGATGCTTGGCAATTGGTATGCATTTATGATGGCTGCAGTGTCCTCAGAACATGTGATTACTTTTGCACCTTTTGACAACAAAGTCAATAGGAAAGCCAGATTCACTTAATTGTGTTACTAACTGCAGTGCATGCAGTGACTCACTTACAACTATGGCAAGAAATGTCATAAAATCGGGCAAGACTGACTTAAGAACTGTCTTGCTTAGTAATAGAAATCTTGGGCTCAACTATGGTTGTAAGTCAGGGGTCTTCATTCTTGGCCCTTTTATAACTTGTGGACTTCAACTCCCAGAATTCCTCAGACAGCAGGCCAAGTTTGAAGACCTGTTGTAAATTATATAGAACTATCTAAATAACAATTCTTGTTCAAAGAGGTTAATATAGCATCACTGATCATGGATCGCTCTGACTCATAATACTTCCATTATCAATTTGACATATAAACAATTATAAAAGAAAAGCTGAAATAAACTCTTACTCTAAACATTATTAACAAAGCAATATTACTTAAATATGCTATTATGGCCTCAATTTGTCATTAAGTGAAGACTTAGATTTGAGTTATCTGAGCAAAATGATCATGACTTTTTAGAAAGGGCCTATTAAACAAATGTTTCTTAAAGTATGGTCCAAGACTCTCCAGGAAATCAAAATTATTTGCCAGATATTTGCAAAAATTTAAAACAGCTCTTGTTATTTTTCTTTGTTAAAAATATTGGGGTTTTATTTATGTTAACATCTTGTCAGGGCCCACTTCAAAACCTCATCCCAAGAAAGCAGGACTCTTGGAACAGTTTCTTTCCAAAAGGAAGTTTTATTAGGAGAAGCTGATAGCAGGCATGATAGGCAGGATCTGAGGGTTTCCTGCTCAGATCAATAGGTTAAAAGAGTCCCAAGCATAAACCCCCAATGGTTCATCCAGTCAGTTTGAATGGGCCAATCCCCAGGTGTTAAGTCCGCCATGGAAAAGGAACTGATAACAGGGTCCTTTCCCATGCTTGTGAAGATGTTGTTGGGTCTTCGCACCTTCCCTTCCACAGCAAGAGATAAGCCAGATGGCCAGAGGCACATTCCTTTCTCACCCCATGGTAACATCAAGGGAGAGACAGTTCAAAGAGTAAGTATGTAGGAAGATCGGAAAGGATATGTTGTATACTTCGTTCACGTGCGAATGATGAAGACACATGGTGATGCTGAACAAACACTTTATTCTCCTTCTACAGCAACCAAGCAAAAGCAAAAGGCTCGCAGGTCTTTTTATATGGCCAGAAGCCCGGACAGTGACAACCAATAGGAACAGCGTTTTCACACCTTGCACATGTGCACAAGGCTGGCGCCGCTCTGTCTGGTCCCGGGCAGCTTTTGGAATGCCCAGGACCAATGCAATGTCCCGAGCTTGCTTTTGCAGGCTCAGGACACAACACCCCTCCCCCCTAGATGGAACATACTTCGCGTACACATATGTACGTCATGCATTGGGAAGAGTGGCATACAGTTGCATTATTCAAATGCAAAGAGTGTGTAATACTTGAGTCTGCCCTCAGGCAAACCAATATTTATTAATACAAATAAATGTATCCAAAATCAAAAAATAATGCAAAATAATCTACCCACGAGTTACTCCCATTATTCAGGGGCCTCATGAACAGGTCCCTCATGATTTGACAGCAACCTCACAAAGTCTCTCAGTTGTTTGGGTGGGCACTTGGCCCGCTGTGACTTTCTAAGGCCTGGAGAGATTGCCTGGCCCACCTGCTCACCTACCAGGCTAGGCAGGCCAGAGCGGTTGCTGCCCCAAATACCCGGTTGACCCGCCCCACTCTGGCTGGCTGGACCCTCTAAGTCCAAGCCAGCATATCTTGGAGGGGTGGAAGTCCCCAAGTCCACATTGGACCCCTCTTGGGAACACTGTCCCTCGAGCCAAGGCCAGCAGATGGAGAGGCTGGGTAGCGAAAGTGCCCTAGTACTCTGTGGCCCCCAAGCACGTGCCAGAGGTGCCAGAGTCAGGAGTCGCCTCCATGGCAACCCCCCTTGCTGGTGACTTCCTTTTGGGAGCAATTGCGGAATTAGGCAAGCACCCTTGATGGAATTCCTTTTCTCTTACTGCTAGTGATTTGTGTGGATACCCTGGTCAGTTTCCTTGTCTGGAGCACTGTGACATATGTGAATACTGTCGATACCCCCGGTGTGACTCTCTGTCTGGAGTAATTATGGATGTGTGGGATGACCCCCTATTCAGTGAATTCCTGTTTGGAGCACTTGCGGAACCTTGGGATGAATCCCAAACAGCCTTAGCAGTAGCTAGTGAGGGCCTGTTAGGCCTGGGAAACTGTGATCCAGAATGCGTATTATGGTCCTCCTCCCCTCCCCAGAGCAGAGGCAGGAGCGGAAGGGTGAGAGTCCAGTCTCCAACGCAATTGGCCTATGTGTCTGCAAAGAACACAGCTGTCACCCAAGGCAACTTCGTATGACAACGGCCCAGAGACCTTGCAGACCACAGCTGTGACCCAGAGATGTTCAGGCCCATAGTTTCTTGCCCAAACCGGATCGCCCACCTGGAGTCTCCTAGGTGCCCGCGGTTGTGACACCTGTGAAGCCACCCGGTCAGTGTGCAGCCTGTCCAGTTTACTGATGAGGGGGTGACCCCAGCAGAGTTCAGCAGGGCTCTTCCCTGTGGCTGTGCATGGTGTGGTGTGCAAGAAGGAAATCTGCTAACCTGTGATGTCAGTTACCGTAAGTCAGTTTCTTGGGGGCATCTTTGGTGGTGCACACCATTCTCTCTGCCAGTCCGTTGGAGGATGGATGGAAGGGAGCCGATGGTGCATGCTGGATCAGATTGGCCTGAAGAAAAGCCTGCAACTCAGAAGACGTAAATTGAGGGCCATTATCTGAAACCAGCATATCTGGAAGACCGTGTGATGCAAAAATTCCTCTCAACACCTGGATAGTCCTGGCAGTAGTAGTGAAGGAAACAGGAACAACCTCTAGCCACTTGGAATTGCTATCAACAACAACCAGGAAGAATTGCCCCTGAAAGGGCCCAGCATAATCTATATATACCCTAGACCATGGGGTTTGAGTTTCCTCCCACCTATGTACTGGGGCCTGAGGCATTTCAGGCCGTGACTGTTGGCACACTTGGCACCTGTGCACCTGGGCCTCGATTGCTTTATCGAGTCCAGGCCACCAAAGATGGCTGCGTGCAAGTGCTTTCATCCTGACTATACCAGGATGTCCCTCATGCAGAGATCAAGATTCTAGATCTCAATGAGGTTGGAATCACTACCCTGCTACCCCATAACAGGCAACCCTTGAAAGTGGAAAACTCATGCTTCTTGTGCCAGAAGCTTTGGAACTCAGTATCTGGGCACTTGTCAGGCCATCCTGACAACATCCATGTCAGCACGCGTGTAAGTGTGTGATCAGTGGCAGTTTCTGCAGCCACGTCCCTAGCATCGAGGGGAGACTCAGGCAACTCCTGAATGGAAAGAATATTAATGGCTGGAGTAGGATCTGGCTCTAATTGGTTCAGGGGTAATCTGCTCAGGCCATCTGCATGACCCATTTCTTTTCCTGGTTTGTGAACTAATGTGTAGTCATATGTTGACAGAAAAATGGACCATCTCAGCATATGAGGAGAAATGATATGTGAGGTCTGTTTGTTAGTGGTAAACAAACCCAGCAGAGGCTTATGGTCAGTATAGACCATGAAATGGCGGCCATATAAGAAATCATGAAATTTCTTAATGCCAGCCACTATGGCCAAGGCTTCTCTGTCAATCTGAGCGTAATTTCGCTCTGCAAAAGACAGAGTCCTTGAGTAATAGGCCACAGGGATCTGTGTCCCATCAGCCTTCAGATGGTTAAGTACCACTCCCACCCCATAAGGAAATGCATTGCATGCGATGCAAACAGGCAGTTGCTCATTGAAATGCACTAGAAGTGAGCATTAGAAGTGAGCAAGGCCTTAACCTCATTGAAGCTCTTGTCATGGACTTTAGTCCACTGCTAAGGAGCCTGCTTGTCTAAGAGCCTGTGTAATGGCTCTGCCACTGCAGCTTTATGTGGGAGAAATGCATGGTAAAAAATTTAATAGCCCCAAGAAGGCTTGCAGCTCACTCTTAGACTTAGGGCTTGGGGCTTGCTGGATAGCTTGCAATTTAGTTTCAGTGGGGTGAATGCCTTGAGCATCAATCCTGAATCCTAAGAAGTCAGTAGAAGTGATTCCTATCTTACATTTATCCTACTTTAGTTTAAGGCCTGCTTTTTGAAAACGAAGCAAATCTT